TTAGATGTTGTGAGAGCACGTTTAGCATTTCAAGTTACCGGCGAACATGTATATTCTGGAATTTGCAATACACTGTCTTTAATGTTTAGGAGAGTAAGTGTATTCACAGTTCATTTCTTTTTCAATTCATAAAATCTATGCTTTATTATTAATTGCTTAAAAAAGATTACTTTATGATTTAATGTAAGTTAAAAATATATTTATAATTCTGTTCATTTCTTGTTATTATTCAGGAAGGAGGTATCTCTGCTCTTTATAAAGGCTTGTCACCTACAATTCTTGCCAAGATTCCATCAGCAGGTAACTATCTTGTTAGTGTGATACACTAAGGTTATGAATAAATATTTTTTTGTCTGTAGTAAGGTTTTGTTGATTGATAACGTTAATTGCGTTGCTCAACTAATATTATTAATTGAAACTCCAATTTTATTTGCATTTAGTATTTTTGTTTACACCTCTTTCAGTAAACGTGGTCTGTCGCAAGGTTACAGAGTTATTTAAATGCATTGCACTCTGTCTTTTTACATCATGGATTGAGATTTTAGTATATTTTTAAATTAAGTAAAATCATAGTAGTTTAGTTTTTGTTAAAATATATTTGCTTTGATTTTATATTAATCTCATGGAAGTTAAATAGAGCTGTCACTTGTACTTCTATGCTAGTGCAGTGCTGTTGTTTTCTGTAATTATTATCATCCTTCATCCATTATCATGTTATCTCTATGAGTTACTTTTTGATGTGTGCTGTGCTACTCATGCACTGTTTGGTATCTATCATTAAAGTAATGTTTAAGTCATTGTAAGAAGTTTTGATTTATAAAAACACACCTGCTTTCTGGAGGTGGAACCTTGTATTCTCATTGTAGTCAATTTGTTCTCTTCCTGTTGTTTTATTTTCACGTTTCTGGATAAAATTTTTGGCGAGTTAATGAAAGCATTTATGTAGGTTCATCAGACTGTAGTAAAAATAAATTCACTTTTTTTATATATATAGAATCAGTAAATGACAATTGTTTTGTATTCATTAAAATGTTTTGTACTGATAGCATTGAAGGCTCTTAACTTTATTAAATCCATTATTTCAAAATCGCATCGTGATTTTGTAAAAGTCTAAATATAGTATGAAAAATAAAATTTAAATATTCATCTGTTTGGTTTTCATAATACAATTTTTCCATTTGGGTCTTAGTCGGTATAAATATTTGTCTACCCACAATATATTTGTTAATGTACTGGTGAGTAATTTCATGGCCACAGATCAATTTAATATGAAAATTCCATTAATCTATTTTGGGTTAAATAAGGTTTGTATGAAATAAAAGGACATCTGGTTAAAATGTTACTTTTAATTTGCGGCTTACAATATTTAACCTGTTATTTTAAATAAATCAAAATTGCTATTTTAAAAAAAAAAAAGTATTTTACGCTGGTAAGTATTAATTTTCCAGAATTTAATACAAATTATAAAATGAAGCAATTAATGCTGTGTTTGTATCTTAAATAAAGTTATAACAAAACTATGTTCTAGTATATAATTCTGAAAAAAATTGTATTTATTACTAATATTTATCTATTCATATGTAAAAATTATTATTTTTATTTTTAATTTGAAAATTATAAATAAAAAACTTAGATTAACTTATTAGTCGATATAGTTCACTGCAGAATAGGATATGCAGAAATAACTTTTCATAATTCTTTTACTTTAATGAATATTTACTGTATTATTTAAGTCAACTTTTTACCTAATTTTTAGTTTTCTATTGATTTAGGTCTCTCCTTCTATGTGTTTGAGCGTAGCAAGGCTTTTTTATTGGAATATAGGCCAGAATTATGTGGTCGATCTCATTCAAGTAGCAGTGGAGGCATAGTTCTAACATTACCTGCCAAATTATTTTGCGGTGGCCTTGCAGGCGGTATTGCACAAACTGTATCGTAAGTATTATATAGGTATTATTTTCACCCTTCTCTGTGCAAGTTGTTTTAGTGTTGTATGTAAGAATTTTTTGCTTTCCTATTTAAAATTGTGTGTTAAAAATGATTAGATGAATATAATTCAGTGTGTAATTATATTGTAATTAATGTGTTTTTCATACTCCTTTGATAAAGGTTATTTAAGTTCAGTCAGGCCCTATTTTAATAAATTTTACGTGAACTCTAGATTTTGTACTTTAAATTGTTATTTGAAATATTGGTGTACAACCACTAAAAATTTCTTTTAATTGCCTAATGGGATACTCGGAAGCACATACATATTTAGAAATTGTATACTTTTTATTCAGCTGTCCAAAACATAGAATTTTGTGGATGTTTATGAATGTTTTATCCTCATTTCTTTTTGTTTTAATCTATGTTGCACAAAGTACACCCTAGTCTCTTTTTTGCTTGTAAATGTACTTGTGTGCCTGTAAATTCTACTTTCTGAAAGCATTTATCAATTGTACTTTGAGAAACTTGGTTCTAAGATCGTCTCCTAAAATTTATAAAGCATTGGAAATGTTTGTTTTTTTTTGTTGCTTTCTTTTACTTTATTTCTGCATTTTTTTCCAAACATGTTATAAATTTTCTCAGAAATAACTTTCTATTATTAATTTCTCCAGAACAAATTTTTCCACTTTATAGTGACTGCAGCACACTTGTACCTTTAGCACGAAAACACTCATTTTTGACGTTTTCTTAGTTGTAAATTGAAGAATAAGTATTTCATTAATAAATAGATATCTTCCCTTTTGATTCCTCATCAACTCATATAAATTTTGTCAAAAAGTCTGAATATATATATATTAAATATTTGTTTCTTGAAAAAAGATAACAAACCTTTTCTCACTTTTGAAATAATTTGTTGATTTAATGTTTTTTATTTGTTAAATATGAGTTTTTGCTTTCATTTTAATCTGATCGTAAGAAAATATCCTTAAATCTTAAAAATTGGAGCTAGATTTTTTTATAACTTTTTCAGAATGTAGGCTTACCATATTAAAAACGAAAAGATTGAATGCAAAAATAATTATAAGAATTAAAAGCCATAAATTTATGCTTAGAAGAAATCTTTCCATTTATATTTCTATTGACTGTGTGACATTACTATTATTTATGCAGGGTGCATCCATTTGATTTATGCTATTAAAATGTAATACAATATCTTACTTCAGTTATTTTTTGTATTTTTAATTCTTTGATTTTCAACATTTCTGAAAAATTAAGAGTAAAGATTTTTTTATCAGATGCAGAATCAAATATTTACTATCAGATCCCTATTTAACATTTTCTTTTTCTTTTAAAATGTTGGCAAAACTCCTAACAAAAACAAAAAAATTAAAAAAAATTGTTAATTTGAGTTGAAAAAATACTTGATAATTCCATTATATCTGGATCCAGTTGTAGTTAATTATTTTTTATGTTTCTGAAGTCGCTGCATCCCTAAATTATGATTAATTAGTTTATTCATTTTAGTCAAAGTGTTATGCTTCTGTATACTACATTTTATAGCTTTTTTTAAAAAATATTTTAATAGATATAAAATTTATTGTTGTTACTAATTTGGTTATTGAAATCATTGTATCTCTGAATTATGACTAAATTAGTTTGACGAAAATTATTGCCCTTCTGTAGACAAACATTTCTTAATTTTTAGCTATACACAGTTTTCAGAATATACTTTTATGAGCATTGTAAAAAAATGCATATGTTTTTATAGCTACCCACTGGATGTTGCTCGCAGAAAAATGCAGTTAGGCATGATGACAGCTGAAACTCAAAAATTTGGGTGAGTTAATTCTTATTTTTATTTACTCATGTCATCAGTTTAAAAGAGATTTCAAATTTATCACAGTGAAATTACAATGTTAATTTGTTAGCTTAATTTAGTAGATAAACAATGTTAATTTAGTTTATCTACTAGTTTTTTTTTAATCAATAAGCACTATTGTAATAAAAAAACTCAATTTTAAAATTTGCGGCAATGACTCATATTATCATAAATTACAAGAAGAACCTTATTCCATTGTAAACAAGATTTTGTGCAAAAAAGTATAATTGTTTGGGATGCTTTTTTGAAACCAAAAAAAACACTCTACCTCATGCATATCAAGAGAAATCCTTTTTAGAATATTTTAAATTATTTAAATTATAGCTTTAGATGATTTTGTAAAGAAATTATAGAAACTGATCATCTAATCCCATAATCTACTCTAAGCTTTTAGAATACGCATGTTAGTTCAGTGATTATTTAAAAAAAAAATTCACTACCAATACATTAAGAAAATTGAGACTCAATATATTTAAAATATCTATTATATTAAAATTGTTGAATTGATTTTGTTTCATCCAAACTTTTTTTAAAAAAAGCGACAAATGTGCCATATTGATTAAATTAAATTGTTTTTCTACAAATCTGAATATGTAACAAAACCCCCACTCGCAGTCATATTTCATTAAAATGTAAAATATTGTGTTCTTTAAATAAACTAAAAAATTGAAAAGAAAAACAATTCTGAAGCTAACTATCTTTTAAACATTCACAATTTCAGATTTTTTTATATTATCAATTTGAAACTCTATCTGAAGCCACTTGTTACGGAATTTCTTTTATTCTCAGATGAGAATAGAAAAATCACAAGCATTTCTCTCCCGTTCAATGCATTAGAAAGGTATAGTTGAAATATAATTGTGCAAAAAAAAAAAAATTTGAAAATTCTTTAAAAAAAAAGCCAAATTTTTTTATTTTTCCAAATTAAAAATCTTTCTGCAAGAACTCTGCGGTATTCTACAACAATGTCTCTATGTCGCAGCGATTCTGCCTCAGAGACAAAACTTATTTTCTCAATAGTAGGTCAATTTGCATTTTTTTATTTAGTCGGGACTATGACATAGTAACTATGAGGAATAACTATGCAACTATGAAGAATAAAACTTAGAAAAGTTTATTGTATGTAAAAATGTATGATTCTGTGTGGTGTTACTATCAAGATGCATTAAAAAAGAAAGAAAAACAATTCTTTGTTTTCTTTCTAAATCTTTATTTGAGGTAGGAAGGTTCAGAATTATACATTCTAAGGGATAAAATGAGTATTATTACTATGCATATCTGACAAATTTTATGTTCTTTATTTTATGTTCCAAAGAAGTGTTTTTCTAAGTGTAATGAAATATCAATTAAAATGTAAGCAGACATTGAGCAATATTTTCTACACAATAAGATAGCTACTAGGCTTGATATAAGTACCTTTGAAATACTTAAATGTAGTAATAGTTAAAATAATTTATTAATTAAATTTATGAAACAAAAATCAAGTATAAGTGTAAAAATTTTGCAATCACTTTAAATATAAAACTAAAATACTTCACTAAGCAATAAAAGAGTGAACAGGTACTTAATGTATTGCATAAATAATACACTCACCAAATTATAAGCGAAGATTTAAGTTTATTAAGTTAAATGAAAATTATTTATAATATGTATATTTATATTATATATGTTTATAATATGTATATCATGGCTGGCACCTACCGTGTTGCGTGCCAGACATATTGTCTAGAAGTAAATAATAAATAAGAACAATCAGTTTATTGCTGGGAAGAAGATTAAGTTAGTAAGAGTGTATCATTCTTTAATCCCATGCCTACTTCCTATTATCATCGGAAAATATCATATGTTGGCCATGTCATCATTTTTGGTTTAAAAATTAATGTTTAATTAAGTGCTCTTAATAGTCAGTTATATGCAATTACCGCATCTCAAAATTATGTGTTCATAATGAGCATACAACTGTTTGTAATTTATTTACAATAGTTTACATATTTTTGCGCTCACATGTATTAGACGCTTTATAATATGTATTTTTTGTTAGAAAATATTTTTTTAAACTTTTGTAGATAAATACTTTGCTTATTTTCAGTTCTTATGATGCTTTTATTAAAGTTTTTAAATTTTTCTGTTTTTTAAGCTTTAGTATTTTTTTAAAGATTTCTTTACCTATTTTCAAAGCTAATTTAATAATTTCTTCTATGTTTAAAATGCATCAGTCAAATGTCCATTGCAACAAATGAAATATCAAATGTGAAATATTTTAAATTATTTTCTTTCACTGAAGGAAATACACAATATTTTCTTTATTTAAGACTAAGTTATTCAAAAGGTTATAGATTTTGATTTTCAGTTCATGTTTTGTTTTAAAAGTAAAAATGGATATTAAAAATACCTCATTAATATTTTTAATGTTCTTAAAATAATTATTGATAGTTTGCATAGGTTAACAGAAAGTTCTGAATTTGTGTTTTATTACTGGTTAGTGAGTGCAAAAATATGAAGAAAATAATCACTGGTATCATAGTTGGTGGTGCCCTCTCTTGTAAAAGAATATCAATAGAGCTTGTAGCTTTAACTGAGTAACTTCTTTTTTTGGAAAGATATTCTTTTGTTTCTAATTTCCTCCATGTCTGTAACTATTTATTTTTTGTAGTTTTAATAATATATTGGTGATATTGAAAATAATGTATTTTTATTAATAATTTAGAATAAGGGCAGTTATATATAAAATTTTATATCCATTTAGTGGCATATAAATTGAAATGCTTTTACATTTCTGAGATATGCTGTCTAATTTTATTTAAATAATGTAAATCTGATATGTAAATTAAATTATTAAATCTGTATACATTTGTGTGCATTTTTTTATGTAAAACAAGAGTTTGATTTCTAAGTGAATTTTTTAGTATATTTCTTGTATAATGTGAGGAAAAAAATCTTGTCACCTGGAATAACTTTTGATCTAATGAACAGATCTTTGAGTTAAAAGACTTAATCTCATTGGCTCTAATAAGTTACTTCAAACATGTTAATTAATTAGTGTAGGGAATATTTTAAGTTAACGAAATCAGACACAAAAATGAACTTTCTCTGAATAAAATTTTTTGCCCCGACAGAGTTAGATTTATACCCTCTAAATAAAAGGGTTTCCTGCAATCTGGGTCACATGGTTTTAATAGTTTGATCAGAAGAGCAGTCTAATGTTTGGACCGCTCTTAATGTTAATTTTACTTTTTGTGTATTGCACCATATTTTGGAGAATTTTTTAAGTTAATTGAAAAATTTTTGCACTTAATTATAACGTTTGTTTATCCTAAGATATATTTTCTGCAAAAAATAATTTTAAATAATTATAAATTTTTATTATTTAAAAAAAAAAAAAAAAATTTCTGAAAAAATACATTTTTGTGTTTTTGATTTTTTAATTTAAAACACCATCTGCACTATTTAATTATAGTTGGGGTCACCCCATTGAATCATTAAGACTGAGTCCTACATCATGAAGATGCAATCATTAGATAAAAAATTATTCAAGGTATTTTTTATTTATTTATTTATTTTTGCAGTCACATTTTTCTAAAAAATTTTTGCAATACTTTTTAAGTATACATCTTAATTAACATCACGGGGTTAAATTAAAAGCTTAACTTTTTTGTGATTGAAAATCAATAACTCTACTTAAATAAATCCATACCTTTAATATTTTGTAACTGTAGTTATGTAACTGTCTTTTATGCATTTATAATTTTTGTAAAAAAAATATTCTTTTTATGTTAACAATAGCCCATAGAAGCATAATATAAAAAGGCATGTTAAATTTTTTTTTTAAACCTGACCAAAAACTAGTGCCAGGAAAGTTAAAAAAATTTTCTTTCATTTAAATTTCTCTAGTCAGTTATATCAGTACTTTTTATACATTAAACCAACCCATATATTAATTTATATTCCCACCATTATTAAATCTAATTTAACAATTAAAGTTATATTTCTTACTTTTTATTTAGATATTCTATTCTTAATTTCTATCTGATTGCTTTCCTACTGCATTATAATATTATATTTTTAACTTTCTTCTTTAATCTTGATTTTCTTCAGAAAAGGTCTTGTTGAAACATCAATTCTCACTTTAAAAAAAGATAATCTGTTAAATCGAATTTTTAGGGGAATGACGATTAACTACTTACAAGTTTGATTATCAAATTTTGATTACCAATCAATTAATATTATCAAAATAAAGTTCTACAGTCATTATATATTTTGTATTAAAACTATCTTATTGCTTTCCTATTGCAACCTTATTTTATTTTTAACTTTCTTCTTAAATCTTGATTTCTTCTATTTTCTGCAAAAGAAGTGTTTGACCATTGGTACTTACAAAAAAAAAAAAAAAAAAAAAAAAAAAAAAAAAAAAAAAAAAAANAAAAAAAAAAAAAAGATGGCATACAAATAAATTTTTTTAGAGAAATGACAATTAAGTACTTTCTAGGTAGATAATCAACTCTGATTATCAATGAATTAAGATTATCAAATGTAGTTAAACATTCAAACTTTATTTTGTATCACAACTTTCTTATTGCTTTTCTATTACAACCTTATTATACTGTTAACTTTCTTTTATCTTGATTTTCTGCAGGAGAGGTCTTATTGAGATATTAGTACTTACATACAAAAAAGATGGCATTGCAAATGGACTTTTTAGGGGAATGACCATTAACTACTTACGAGTTGTCCCAATGATGGCTGTATCATTATCAACTTATGAATTGGGGAAACAAATATTTGGATTAGACACTGGCATTGACTCTTGATCTGGTAAAAAAAAAAAGAGGGAGAATCTTCTTTGTATATTATCATTGGAAGCTTGCGGAACTCCCAGTATTGCATGTATTTTTGCCATCAAAACTGTGATGAAATGGGTGCTTACAGTTATTTTTACTAGTCAAAATTTATGAATTTGTCTATGCTATGTATAGTATTTCTAGTGCATTTGTTTATTTGTGGAATTTAAAGTTGTCATTTTTTAATTCCATTAGATTTTTAAAGTTATATTTATTTTGTTATTAAAGATTGCATTTTTTAAAGTTTTTTTCACTTTAGATCATAAACTTAAATGTACACATGTGTTTTAGCAATTTCCTGACTTCTGATTTTGATTAAAAACTAAATAAATATTCTACCGATTGGCCATTAAGATAACACATGTTTTTATCTTATAATTTTGTATAAAAAATCTTGAGTACTTTTTGGTTAACTGGATGCTAGTGGAAATAAACTCACCAAATATTTTAGAGTTTCTCCAAAAAAAAAAAATCACTTTTATGTGTTTATATAGATGAAGTTTTGCTTTACTTATGCTCATTTTGCCTTTAGGTAGGATTTAGGTAGTTAGCCAAAAAGTACTAAAATGATATATATACACTTTTAAAAGATTATAAAGCTAAAAAATTTTTTAAGAAAATTCGTAATGGGATTGAATACTTTATGTACAAAATCATGATGAAAAAACGTTGTTTATATGCAAAGAAATAAATATTAGCTTTGTAAAAATATTTTATATTAGATATCACGGAATGACGTTTCTTATACATATGATATAAAATAAAACCTGTTTATAATACTTTGCATTTATATTAGTATCTGTGAACTGAACCAATTACAATAGTGCCGTACATATTACCAAAAGTACTTTACCGTTGACATCATTATTACTGAGGTGATTTTTTTTACGTTTCTCCTTAATATTTTAACACCATTTCTCCATTGATTTTACTTTTTGTACATGAATTATTTTTTTAATGTCTATTATGCTTATTACCTATTAATGCCTATTACCAAAATTAATAAAGCATCCTTGGCATAGAATAGTACAGCAATTATTTATGCTTCTGTAAAACGAATTGGTACATTTTGTCATTAGTTTTACTTTTTAAAAAAATACCTTTTTTTCAAAATTTAAATTCGGACATATCACAAAAATTAACTAAGCATTATTGGCATCCTAATAGTATGGCGAATCATATAGTATTTAAGCTTATTTGACTTATCAAATGAAATTCAATGTTAAGAACAACCTCCAGGCCTGACTATATCCAATTGAGAAATAAAAAGGGTTAGAAATAGAATGTTAAGTTAGGCTTAGTGAACTACCGAAAATTAAAATGAGGAAAACAAATTACTGCCTACAAACTTTGATTTTGTGAAATATAAACCTTTGAACCATGTTTCAACGAATTACTCTTCAAAAATGCCGAAGGACAGCTACAACGCATCTAGAGGGACTTTTTTCACCCACAGGAAACTTAAAATTCGCTAGACCCTTGATAGCAAACAAAGTCACCGAAAGTTAAAAACCTTTTCCAAAAAATAAGTGAAATTTTACAGGACAAAAATAATATAATGCTTAAATTAAGACAAAATCACTTAAAAATTTTGCATAGAATAAATTAAGTCATAAAATTAGGGTGAATAAAAGATTTTGAAAAGAATAATTAAACAGATGAGTAATGATGAGATCAAAACATTTAAATAGATAAGTAATTGTGACACTCTTATATTACTAACTATTAACTTGTAAGATGTAACTTTTTACTATTCACAGTTTGGGAAATTTTTCCAATCCTGCAAAATTGCCTTCAATACCCACTCCACAATTCTAATTTTACATATTTTTACTTGGTATGAGATCTACTGAAAGTTATAAGAAAAACTAACTATAAGGAAAAAATGTCTTTTTATAGTGACTTTTACGATTAATATTTTAAGAACTGAGAAATTTTTAATTTAAATAACTAAGAATTTAAGAATAAAAATATTGTTTTTGTAATCTGAAAGAAATTAAATTATCACTAAACAAATCCCTCATTCCTTTATTCTTTTTTATCAATATTGGTGATATCTAATAATTTGACAATATAGTAACTAACAGTTTTACACCGACTTGATTGGTAAAGAGGTACTTTTCTAAAGTGAACTGCATAAAATTCCCAAAAATAAGTATTTGAGATATTGCTAGTTAATAATTATTTTCGACAAACAAAGCAATGCAGAATATCTTTAGTCACACCATAAATTTTCCTGCTTGATTGACACTTAGTATAAAAGAGTATTTATGATTTTATTATCATATTTGATAAAAAAATCAATACAGTATAACCGGTGCCTCTTTTTTTGGTGGCTGTGCCGTGAATATTTTACTGTACAAATAAGTAATAAATATTTGTTATATTAATATTTTATAATCATTTTTTGGTAATGACACAAGAAATAAGCTTTTTTTTTATTTCATCCTAAACCGTATTTTTTTCTCACTAAAGTAAGGCTGCACAACCTTTTTGAGTGTAGGCTCACTTGCACAGCAGGTACATTAACGAAGGGCCGCACACATATTTAGTAATATTAGCGGCAAATATGACAATTTTTATGCAAACATTAGTGTTCTAAGCACTTTATCAGTAAACTTAATGAAATATTTGCAGAAAATTAAATGCTTTTAATTATTTCAATTTCTTTTAAATTAAAAATAGATACTTTTTTTAAAAACTTTTTTCATTGTCACCAGAATTAATTCATCAAATATATATATAGGGAGGAGGTATATGAATTCTAACCGAAAAGAAGCTTACAGAATGAAAGTGCAAAAAATCTACGCATTTTATGGAGTAATATAAACTTTAATTAAAGAAAATTTATAACGTTTAAACAAAAACTAAATTAAAAGAAATTTTTTTATTACATTCAGAAGTTCCCGAGGGCCGCATATCAACAATTGGTGGGCCACATGTGTTTCGCGGGCCACAAGTTGTGCACCCCTATGCTAATGTGTCTTTTATGGAAACATCCATTTTGTTTATTGCTAATGTGAAGCATATGGAATAAATGCAAAATTTTAAAGCAAATTTACAAATATCTGGAGAAAAAAAATCAATGAAGCTATTTAAATGCTTCAACTAAATATCTTGTTAAAGGTCTTGCAATGTGGGTTTTGGGTCACTTTACAATATTTGGAAGACCTTTTGAGTGCTGCCTGTGCTTGATGATGTTTGACTTGAAAGTTAGGTTGACTTTATACTTCATACTTTAATTTTCAGGAAATTTCGAGCACAGGTACCTAACTTTGTTAATCTAAAAGCTTCAATGTTTCAAGATGAGAAATTAAAAATTGCAATTGAGTACTTGCAACTCGAGAGGTAAAAAAGTACTTATGTCTTACCATGTGATTTAAATCAAATTTAATTGGATACCTGTTAGCGACATCAGACGTGTGTCAAACATGATTGGCTTCTGAATCCGCAAATGCCATGATTTACCTTCAGCACTGCCATTTGCACTTCAAGAAGATCACAGATACCCACTATTGTAACCTATAACGTCATCGCGAGCTGATCGTTTATAAGGGAAATGGCTACGTAAGTAGAGCTTAGTTTCTCCACATAAGTTAGAATGTTCATTAAATACAGTGCCATATCTCACATCGAATTTATTGAAATATAATTCTCTCTCGTCTATGCATTCTACTTAACTTGAATGCATTATTTGTTTATCTATTTTGTTGTTACCATAATATATTTTTTTGAGTACCTGCCAATTGTGATGCATAATTATTTTGTTTATGTTCTACATGGTTTAGTGTCGGTCTTTGTGTTAAGTAAGAAATATATAGTGAAAGAATTGAAATCTTTATATAAGAATATAGAATGTGTCACTTAAAA